CGGTTCACACATTCCACGCTGGAAGAGATCCACTTGGTGGGAAAGGAAAGAGGAATGTTTAAATCTTTTTTGTTTCCGGTATTTTTGTGTCTGCCTCCACAGCGGGGGTGTGGCTGCGTCTCCTACTCCAAGCCTGTCTTGAATCTAACTTTGGCAGAAAGTTTTGAAGGGATTACAAAACGCTTCCTGCCAGCAACTTCCCAAAGGGAGAAACAAAACAGTCGGTTTAAGTCTGATGACACAACAACCGGATTGGTTGGTTGCCCGTTAGACAGGTGATAAATCCCTCAAGAAACAATTTCCTAATTCTGCTCAATGCCGGAAGCCTTCTCTGCCAGTCTCCAGTGCTATATAAAAAAAAAAAAAACTCCAAATAACATATAAAGGTAATCCTTAACTTACAACAGTTCATTTAATGACCTTCAAAGTTACAACGGCACTGAAAAAAAGTGACTTATGACTAGTTTTCACACTTATAACCATAGAAGAATCCCCATGATGACATAACTTCAGATGTTTGGCAACTGTTTCATATTTATGACGGTTGCAATATCCCCGCAGTACGTCGTCGCTTTCTGCAACCTTCCGGCAAGCGAAGTCAAGGGGGAAGCCAGATCCCCTTAACAACCGCAGGTGATTCACTTAACCGCGGCCAGAAAGTTCGTAAAATGGGGCAAAACTCCACCTAACAACTGTCTCGCTTAGCAACAGCCATCTTGGATCTCAACGGCGGTTGTAATCCGAGGAGTCCCCGTTTTCCCGCTTTAGACACAGAAGCCATCTGGGTGACTCTCTAGGACAGCCAGTTTTTCTTAAACCCAACCCACCTTACAGGGTTGTTGTTGCAGAGACAATAGAAGGAGGTGTGCATTTTGCTGTGTATTTCTCCATTTTTGAATTATGTGTGAAAACAACAAATGCAGGATAGAAATAAACAAAGAAATAAATGTGAGATATGTGCGCCCCTGTGAATCCCTCTGTTGCGGATTTCTGATGAAAGACAAACAGTTGTGTTGCAAAAAAAAAATGAAGAAAAGAAGAGACGGTTGTCAGATAAGCAACCGTCTCTTGCGTTGTGTAAGCTAAGTCTTTCCAGCCACACAAAAGCCACACCTGGGCCCCACCTTGGCCATTGCACAAAAAAAAACCCCCACTGATCCTTTAAGCCAGCCAATTGCAAACCGCCGGATCCAGCCGGATTTCCCACCAGACAGCCCGTGCCAGGAAGGTAACCAACCCTTAATTCCAAAGGGGCCGTCCGTTGTGTCGAATTTTTTGTTTTGTTTTGTTTTACCTTTTGGTTCTGCAATTTAAGAGAAAGAAAAATTGGACTGGGAGATCAAATCCCCATTTAGCCTCAAGGCAGGTTCAAATAGGAGGGAGGGCTGCCGACTTGGTGTTGAGTTTTTCACTCCCTGCGATAAATCACATTTATTTTCTTTCTCTAAAACCGTGATGGCGAACCTATGGCACGCGTGGCACGTGGAGCCATATCTGTGGGCACACCAGTGTTGCCTTAGCTCAGCTCCAGAGCATATGTGCCGCCGCCCAGCTGATTTTCGGGCCTTCCGGGCCACCAGAAGTCGGGAAACGGGCTGTTTCCGGTCTCTGGAGGGCCTCCAGGAGGTGGGAAAGGCCGTTTTTGGCCTCCCCAGGCTCCTAGGAAGGCTCTGGAGCCTGAGGAGGCCGAAAAACGGCCTACCTGGCTTTCGCATGCTAAAAGCAGGGAGAGCACGGGGGGGTCATACGCGCATGTGCGGGGGCAGGGGTGCATTAAATTATGGGTGTGGGCACACGCACATGCGACCCCCTCCCCACTCCCCCAGCTTTTGGCACATAGTGGCAAAAAGGTTAGCCATCACTGCTCTAAGACAACCAGATCCGGCTCACTGGTACAGTTTAGATGCTCGAACTTACAACCGTTCATTCAAAGTTACGCCGACGCTGGAAAAAGTGACTTAACGATGGCTTATCACACTTAACGACCGACCCGTTGCAGCAGCGTTGTGCGGCTGGAAAAACTCGGCTTACACAACGCAAGAGACCCGTTGCTTATCTGACAACCGTCTCTTCTTTTCTTCATTTATTTTTGTGTTTTGCAACACAACTGTTGGTCTTTCATCAGAAATCCACAACAGAGGAATTCACAGGGGCAGGGCACATAGAATTATGGGTGTGGGCACACGCGTGTGTGACCCTCCCCCCTGCTCCTGGCACGCGATGGCAAAAAGGTTAGCCATCACTGAACTAGACGTAGCTAATTGCTGCAACGTCATTGTGCAGTTTAGCCTCCGGGTCCCCCTAATCCTCTTCGTTGCTCTTCTCTGCACGCTTTCTAAAGCCTCAACACGCCTCTAGTGTCGTGGTCAGAGGTGGTATGTAGCCGGTTCGTAACGGTTGATGCAAACCGGTTGCTACGGTATGTGACTCGCCACTTCCGATCGTGATGACTAAAACTGGACTCCATAGAAATATGTTGGTGACGTATTTATTTATTTTATTTTATCAAATTTGTATACCGCCCTAATCCCGAAGGACTCAGGGCGGTGAAGAGCCACAGAATAAAACACATAAATACAAAAAATTAAAATAGAATAAAAATGAATTAAACAATTTGGCTGAACAAATTTAAAACACCCCATAATTTAAAAACAAATTAAAATTTACATTTAAAAAAGGGGAGAAGATTTAGGCCAGGCCAGCTTGATGGAATAAAAAAGTCTTAAGCGCGTGACGGATTAATGTATTATTATGAAAAGAAATAATAATTTGTGCCTTGGTTAGCAAGTTCCTGGAAAATCCATGCCAGTTTTTCTTTACATTTTGCCCAAGCCACAATTTTTTTTTTCCTCGAGCCCTTGCAAGTCAAAACTTGCAGTCTGCTGGTTTGGTTTGGTTTTTGCTTCTCAATTTGGAGGAGGGAGAGAGAGAGAGAGAAGGAAAGAGGAGAGAAAGAATGAGAGCGAGAATGAGAAGAAGAGAGAGAGAAAGAGAAGAAGAAAGAGAAGAAGAGAGAAAGAGAGGGAAAGAGAAGAAGAAAGAGCGAAAGAAGAGAGAGAGGTAAAGGGAAGAGAGAGAAGAGAAAGAGGGAAAGAGGAAAGAAATAGAGAAAGAAGAAGAGAGAGAAAGAAGAAGAAAGGAGAGAGGGAAAGGGAAGAGAAGAAGAGAAAGGGAAAGGAAAGAAATAGAGAAGAAGAGAGGGAAAGAGGAGAGGAAGAAGAGAGGGAAAGAAGAGAGAAAAGAGGGAAAGAGAAAGGGAGAGGAGAAAGAAAGAAAGAAGAGAAAGAGACAGGAGAGGGAAAGAGAAAGAAAGAGGGAAAGGAGAGAAAAAATGAAAGAAAAGGAGAGAAAGGGAAAGAGGTGAGAAGGAAATATGAAAGAGAAAAGGAAAAAAAGAAAGAAAGAAGAGAGAAAGGGAAAGGAGAGAGGAGAGGGGGCAATGAAGAGAGGAGAGAGAAGGAAAGAAAAAGAAGGGAGAGAAGAGAAAGGGAGAGGAAAGTGAAAGAGACAGAAAGGTAGTCCGTATTCTGTTCATTCAGTGACCGTTCATACTTACGACAGCACTGGAAAAAGTGACTTTTTCACCTTTTTTCCACATCCCCCAGGATCACGTGATTTGACATTCAGATGCTTGACCCACTGACTCACCTTTATGACAGTCGCAGACTCCCGGAGTCACGCGATCCCCTTTTGCGACCTTCCAACAGGCAAATTCAAGGGGGGGGGAACCAGATTCGCTTAACGACCGCGCGACTCATTTAAGAACGGCAGCGCTTCTCTTAAGGCGGGAAAAGTCGTAAAACGGGGCAAAACAACGAATTTCTCGCTGAATTAACCTAAATTTAGGGCTCGGTGGCCGACGTAAGTCGAGGACCTCCTGTATTTCAGAGAACGGGGGGGGGGGTTTAAGGGTTTTAAAGAGAAATGCTATAAAAGCAACACCATTCGGAGGTTTTGATTTATCCTGCCCTGCTCGGTCTTCACCCTTGTCTCTTTTCTGTTTAAAAATAGAAGCTGTTAATCATCTTTTGTCTCTTCCCCAGGCTACTGTATATAATTTATTCCTACTGTCACCTCCCTTCTCTTCAGTTCAGTTGGTGCTCTGGTCTCACTTCGCTTTTCTTTCTTTCTTTTTCTGGTTTTGGAAGGACCTGTTTCCTTTATAAAATTCACCCTTGGAGTTCAATCCTTTTTTTCAGTTTTGAAACGGGCTGGCCAGTTTTAAAGTGATGGGCTTGCCTGGTAGAGCCTAAAAAAAAAATTACATTTGTTTCCGGGAAAATATTAGTAGTTTACTTTTGGAATGGATCTTTCCCGGTAAATTTATTTTATTTTATTTTATTTATTTTATTTTATTAAATTTGTATACCGCCCTACTCCCGAAGAACTCAGGGCAGTGAACAGCCATGAAATAAAACATATAGATACAAAATTTAAAATGGAGATAAAACAAATTAAATAAATTTGGCTGAACCATTTTAAAACCCCAATAATTTGAAACCAAATTTAAAATTCCCATTTAAAAGAGGAAAATTTAGGTCAGGCCAGCTTGATGAAATAAAAAAGTCTTAAGCGCGCGACGGAAGGTGCGCAGATCCGGGATCCTCCGTATCTCCAGGGGGAGCTCGTTCCAGATCGTAGGTGCCCCCACAGAGAAGGCTCTCCCCGTGGGGGCCGCCAGTCAACATTGTTTGGCCGACGGCACCCGGAGGAGCCCCTCTCTATGGGAGCGTACTGGCCGGTGGGAGGCTATCGGTGGTAGCAGGCGGTCCCGCAAATAGCCAGGTCCTAAGCCATGGAGCGCTTTGAAGGTGATAACCAAAACTTTGAAGCGCACCCGGAAGACCACCGGGAGCCAGTGCAGCTCGCGCAGGAAATGCAGGTGTGCGATGTTGTTTGGGAAGGTCGCTGAGCATCCCAGCTTCTGTGTAGAATTTTCGGGAACTGTCTTCTCCACCTGTGTCACGTCCACTTGTTCCATTCTTGTTTTCGTTCTGCAGGTGTCCCGAGATGTCGTCCTTGGTTTGGTTTCACCTGCTGCTAGTTTTGCCCTGTTTCGGCACCTCAAGGACTTGCTTCCCGAGATGCCACTGCGAAGTGGAGACCTTTGGCCTCTTCGACAGCTTCAGCCTCACCAAAGTGGACTGTAGTGGGATCGGATCCCACCTCGTGCCTGTTCCCATCCCCTTGGACACCACCTACTTGGATTTATCTTCTAACCACTTGGAAGCCATCAACCAGTCCATGTTAACCGGGCCTGGTTACACCACTCTCGTAGGCCTTGACTTGAGCTACAATAAAATCTCCAAGGTGGTCCCTACCACCTTCTCGAGACTCCGGTATCTTGAGTCTTTGGATCTGAGCCATAACTCTTTGGTGACCATCCCCGAGGACTGTTTCTCTCAGTCCCCTCTGGGAGAAGTGGACCTTAGCAACAACCTTCTCTTGGAGGTCCCCTTGAACGTCTTTGCCTTCAGAGGTCAAGGAAAACCCATCAACGTTGATCTTTCCAACAACTTAATAAGCCAGGTGTCAAGATACTCGGATAAACCTGTTCCTAACATTCAAAGCTTAAATTTCTCGGGGAACCGATTAACCAGCATTCCAGATCTCCAAGGGATCCCCCTTCGTTACTTAAACCTGGATGGAAACCCGGTGTCCGTCATTCAGAAGGACGCCTTCTTGGGCCTGATAGGGTTAACCCACTTGTCCTTGAGCGGGATTGACCATCTCTTGGACATTTCGCCTTTTGGCTTCAAGGACCTCTCCGCTCTCCAAGTGCTGGACTTATCCAACAATCCCAACATGAAATCCTTGAACCCCAAAGTGTTCTACAGCTTGAGTTCGTTGCAAGAGCTCAACCTGTCAGGGACGAGGCTGGCCGCCACTTTCTCCAAACCGATGTTGAGATACTTGCCTTCCATCAAGAGCGTGGCCTTGGCCAAGAACATCCGGTGTCTTAAGACCGTTCGGGAAGGACACTACCACCGAGAAGCTGGACCGAGCAAGAAAGAGGTCCTACGATGTCACGGCGGCCACGGATCCGTGGCGCCGTACGTGTTGTGATCGAGGACCGAGCCTCCGCACGATGAGACTTCTTTTTTTAAAAAAAAACACAGCCACGAATGTGCCTTCTGTACAAACATTTAATTTATACTTTTTTTTTTTTTTGGTATATCTCAACTCCGCGTTACAATAATGGATGGGACAAAACGCTCACAAGTCTGGTTTATTTCAGGGGTACCCCCCCCAAATTTCCAGCTCTGGACCGCCGGTGATTGGGGGGGGTGAGCGGGGAAGGGGATGGTTTCATGTGCATGCCTGCCACTTGTGCAAATAGTTTCGTGTGCTTGCACGCTCGCCCGGTTTCCAACGAGCCATGGACTGCTACCGGTCCACAGAATAGGGGTTAGAGTCCCCTGGTTTATTTGATTTTCCTAACCCTCAGTTGTTCTCCTGGAAACCCTGAGACCACAGCTGTGGCTTCTACAGCAGGGGTGTCAACTCATGGCCCGTGGGCTGCATCCGGCTGGCAATGTGGTCCAATCCGGCCCACGGAGCCATCCTGGAAAATTGCTTCGGCCCAGTCTACCCAATGCAAAGAGGAAACATGCCAGCAGTTTTGGGAGTGGCTTCAGGCTCGTCACGCTCACTGTTCTGCCCCAGCTACGGACCCCAAAGAACGCAGCACACACGAAGTCTGTACAGACCTTAGTTTACTAAATTAAATCAGTTTTTTTTTTCCAAACAGAGGCTTGTTAATTAACTTTCTTAACAGCCAACAATAATCGTAATCTTACTATGATTGGCAGAAAGCCCAGAAGCAATTTGCAGAGAACTAAGATCACGACGCGAAGGAGAGTGAATGAAGTTGTTCCCTGCAAATTGCTTCAGTCGGCATTCCTCCTTAAATAGGCTAAGGGAGTGGCCAATTAGCCCCAAGCCTTACTCTCGAGGAGACCTCCTCCTGAGGAACCACTCCTGCCTTTTGGTAGCTCTGCACGCCTGTGCACTGAGAAGAGGCTCCTCCTCTTCTTCCTCTTCACTTATGGGAGCTTCTGGATGTTCTGAAGGCCCTGGCTGAATCCCCGCCTCTGGCACCACATCTTCTCCAGCCTCCTCACTGTCCGACTCGAGCGCCAGCTGCACAGGCTGCTGGCGCAGCACCACACCAGCCTCCTCGCTGTCGGAATCAGCTGCACAGGCCGCGTATGGGCCACAACACTCACCCAGTTGGCCACGCCCAGTGAGTGGCATCAAGATAGCCACACCTACCCAGTCAGCCATGCCTACACGGCCCCCCGAGTTCAACCACAGTCCTGATGCAGCCCTCAATGAAAGCAAGTTTGACACCCCTGATCTACAATGTCCTTCAGAGACAGGTAATCTTCGCCTTACAACCATTCGTTTAGTGACTGAAGTTGCAACGGCCCTGAACAAAGTGATTCATGCCTGGTTTGCACACTTAGCGACCGTTGTAGCATCTCCATAGTCGCGTGATCCAAATCCGGAGGCTTGGCCACTGGCGTGTATTTACGACGGTTGCAGTGTCCCGCGGTTGCGCGATCCCCTTTTGCGACTTTTCCAGCTGGCTATCAAAGTCAACGGGGGAAGCCAAATTCACATAACAAACCGCGTGATTCGCACCACAATTGCCCTGATTCGCTTAACGACTGTAGCAAGAAAGGTCGTAAAATGGGGCAAAACTCATTATAGCAGCCATCTTGCTTAGCAAGAGCAACGTTGGGCTCAAATATGGTTGTAAATCGAGGACTACCTTCGATTCACTTCGAAGATCTTCCGAAGAGGACGGTTCAGCCCCAGAAATTGTGGATTTGAGAAAATGTCTAGGGCAATGTTTCTCAATCATTGGTATAGAGGTATAGAGGTGTTGGACTTCAACCCCCAGAATTCCCCAGCCAGCATGGGAATTCTGGGAGTTAAAGTCCACACCTCTGAAAGTTGCTAAGGAGAAACACGATTGTAACACACACATCCACAACCCATTCAATTCCATTTGAGCTGATAACTGGCCAGAAGGTGTATATACCTTCTTTGGCCACAAGAGGGAAGCAGTTTACCACAACCTTTCGGTGGAATTGTCCTTGTTTCTCTTGCAAAGTTCTTCAGTTTTTCCTCCAGCTCTTGTGATTTCTTGGTGGTCTTCCATCCTCACGCTAACCAAGCCTGTTCCTACATTACTCAGGAAACTCATGGACTGTCTGTAGGCTGGATTTTTGTTGCTCAACCAAAGGTTTTGCATGAAAGCCTGATGTAAGAGGCAGAGTTCCCACAGCCCTTTAAACGTGCAAGTTAACTTATACATGTAAAATTAAAAGCTTCCTTTGCATTGAGCTTGATCCTTGGAGATATCCAAGGAAGGCTTTTTGTAAAGGATATGGAGGCAGTCCCACTTTTTTTTTCTGGATTTTTTTTTTATTTCCTGGTGGTCTCCTTTCCAGTAATACCAACTGATCTTCTTAGCTTCTGAACCGAGAGGCCCATCAGCCAAGTGCTGTCACCGGATACTAATACAAATGCTGGATCTCAAGAAAAGATGGCACTTGAATGTTACATTTGCAAGTAGTCCTCGGCTTACGACCACAACTGAGCCCAACATTGGCGCTGCTAAACAAGACAGTTATGAAGTTTTGCCCCACTTTTTTCTTGCCACAGTCGTTAAGCGAATCCTGCAGTTGTTAGCAACACAACTGTTAAGTGGATCTGGCTTCCCCGTTCACTTTGCTTGTCAGCACGGTCGCAAAAGGGGATCCCATGACACACACACACACCCCGGGGACACTGCGACCGTCATAAATATGAAGCAGTTGCCAAGTATGTGAATTTTGATCACTTGATCATGGGGATGTTGCAACGGTCATAAGTGTGAAAAACGGTCGTAAGTCCCTTTTTTTCAACATTGTAACTTTGAATGGTCACTAAACGAACGGTTGTAAATCAAGGACTACCCGTATTTCCTTAAATACCTCTGACTTTTTAAAGTTTTGAATCTCATCCAACCCTGTTCCTTCCAATTGTGCAAGCAAAGCTTTTCACTCACACACAAACATACAATTTTGGCAACAATCTTCGTGATTACAGCGAGTCCTCGACTTAAGAACAGTTCATTTAGCGACGGTCTGAAGTTATGATGGCATTGAATAACGTGACTTACGACCTGTTTTTCACAGTTAACGACCTTTGCAGCATTTCCCATAATTGTGTGATCAAATTCAGAGGCTCGGCAACTGGCATGTACTTAACGACTGTTGCAGTCTTCCGGGGGTCATGTGATCCCGTTCTCGCAAGCAAAGTCCAGGGGGAAGCCCGATTCACTTAACAACCGGGTTACTAATTTTTTATCAACTGCAGCGATTCACTTAGCAACGGTGGCACGAACGGTCGTAAAATCAGGAGTGGTATTCACTTACTTTCCGTACCGGTTCGCAAATGTGAGTCCGTGCGCACTTTGCTGGCACTCACGCCTTCCGTACATGCACCCGGCCACAAAAACGCGACTAAATAGGATGGCAGAGTCGGGGAAGGTGGGTGGAGCCACCCGTGATTTCCGCAAGCAGTTCTGCCGAACCGGTCCGAGCCGGCTGCATACCACCTCTGCCCCAAGACTCACTGAACAGATGTTTTCACTTTTAAACACAGACATTCTGGGCTCCGTTGTGGTCGTAAGTCGAGGTCTACCTGTATTGTATTTTACCACCCTGGGAAAGGAAGCCCACCTTCTCAAAAACTTAACTTTAACCTTTCTTCTCTCATCTGGCTTTGGTCGCGTCACAGTTAACGCCGAGTTAAGATTAAGGCAAACATTGCGCAGATTCGCCCGCGATGCTTTTCCGAAGGCTTCACAAAGGCCTCTTCATTTTTCCACCCAGCTGACATTTTGGCTGAAACAATTTCATTTTTTTTTTTTTTTCCCTCTTGGCAAGAATGGCCCGTCTCTTGATCACGGAAGGCAGATTTCAACTGTAGTTCTCCGGATCCAGCCGGATAGGATGGGAAAACTTCCCTGCCAGCTTGGATGTCAAAATTTGCAATCCGCGTAAGAGAGGGAAAAAAAAAAAACCTCCCAAAAAGAACAGATTTGAAAAAATGACGATCTAAGCAAAATAAAAGAGACTCCAAATTAGGGGCCTGCAATTTAGCATTATTATTTTTTTTTTAAGAGTTTGCCTAAGAAGGCAGCATTCCAATTTCTTGGGGTTTGATCCACATTTTTTTAAAAAAGAAAAAGATTTGGAAAAACCGAGCTCGTGAGTATTTCTCTTGCATATGTGCAGAACTTTAGTAGGTATTTTTTTAAAAAAAAAAACGTGCCTCTCGATAGTCCTCGGCTTACGACCACAATCGAGCCAAGAATTTCTGCTGCGAAGCAAAATGGCCGTTAAATGTATTCCCCCCCATTTTACGACCTTTCTTGCCACGTTTGTTAAGTGAATCAGTGCAATGGATAAATTAGTAAGCCGGTTGTTAAGTGAATCACTGCAATTGATAAATTAGTAACCCGGTTGTTAAGTGAATCTGGCTTCCCCATTGACTCTGCTTATTGGAAGATCGCAAAAGGGGATCATGTGACCCCGGGACACTGCAACGGTCGTAAGTGTGAAAAATGGTCATAAGTCGCTTTTTTCAGTACCGTTGTAACTTCGAACCATCACTAAATGAACTGTTCTTAAGTCAAGGACCAGCTGTATTTATTTTCTCTTGGCTGATTGCATTTTAACACAGGAACTATTTCCAAGGAATTAAGTTTTAAAATCTGAGCCACCTCAATATATTTTCTTTAAAAAAAAAATCAGAAACTCATAAATAATAGGGAGGGACGCGGTGGCTCAGTGGCTAAGACGCTGAGCTTGTCGATCGAAAGGTCGGCGGTCCAGCGGTTCGAATCCCGAGTGCCGCGTAACGGGGTGAGCTCCCGTTTAGTTGTCCCAGCCTCTGCCAACCTAGCAGTTCGAAAGCAGGTAAAAAATGCAAGTAGAAAAAGAGGGACCACCTTTGGTGGGAAGGGAACAGCGTTTTCCGTGCGCCTTTGGCGTTGAGTCATGCCGGCCACATGACCACGGAGACGTCTTCGGACAGCGCTGGCTCTTCGGCTTTGAAACGGAGATGAGCATCGCCCCCTAGAGTCGGGAACGACTAGCACATGTACGAGCGGAATCTTTACCTTTACCTTAGGGCCATGATGGCGAACCTATGGCACGCGTGCCACAGGTGGCACACGTACCCATATCAGTGGGCACGCCAGCTCAGCTCTGGCACGCATGTGTGCGCCGGCCAGCTGATTTTCAGGCCTTCTGGGTCCACCAGAAGTAGGGAAACAGGCCGTTTCCTGCCTCCGGAGGGCCTGGGGTGTGTGTGTGTGTGGGGAAGGCTGTTTTTGCCCTCCCCAGATGCATAGAGAGGATCTGGAGCCAGGTGAGAAAGAAAAACGGGCCATTGCATGCCAGGAGCGGGGGGGGGGGGGGTTGCACACGCATGCACAGGGTGGGGCACATAGAATTATGGGTGTGGGCACGCGTGTGTGCAAACCTCCCCCTCCCCTTCCTGGCATGCGATGGCAAAAAGGTTAGCCATCACTGCCTTAGGGTGTGTATTTAAATATTGATCAGGAAAAGGTGATGGCAGGAGCCTCTATATAGGGTGTATCGATACTCCTTGACTTGTGACCACAACTGAGCCCAAAATTTCAGTTTAATTTAGTTTAGTTTAGTTCATTGCACATGGTACAACGAAATTAAACGCCGTCTTCAGTGTACGTTATAACTAAAAATAAAAACACAAACATAACATCCTTTACATTCTATAGAATTGCAATTGAAAACAATTGAAAAATTGTTCTTAAGGAAGACACTGTGTTAAGTGAATTCAGTTAACCGTCATTAACTGAATTGCTGTTGTTAAGCTAACAACCTGGTTGTAAAGTGAATCGGCCTTCCCCATGGACTTTGCTGGCCAGAAGGTCGCAACAGGTGATCGCGTATCCTGGGACACTGCAACGGTCATAAGTACGAGTCAATTGCCGGTTGTCACGTGACCACAGGGATGCTGCGACGGTCGTAAGTGTGAAAACGGTCGTAAGTCACTTCCGTGCTGTTGTAACTTCAAACGGTCACTAAATGAACTGTTGTAAGTCGAGGGCGATCTACTACAGCACATTGCATGGGGCTGCTCTTGAAGACTACCCAGGAGTATTAACCGGTCCAGCATGCAACTCTTCATGCCAACTTGACTACTGCAACCCTCTCTACATGGGGCTGCCCTTGAAGTCTATCCTGAACTGGTCCAGAACGCCATGGCGTAGCTAATGATGGGCAATGCCTTACTATGCCCATATAACATTTCTGGGTTTACGGCCTGGTTACTCGAAGGACTGCCCAATTCCAGTGTAGGTGGTCCTCGACTTATGACAGTTCGTTTAGTGACCGTTCCAAGTTACAACGGCACTGAAAAAAGTGACTTAGGACTGGGTTTTTTTTTCCCACACTTATGGTTTACATTTGGATGCTCGACAATTGACTCCTATTTATGACCGTCTCAGCATCCCGGGGGTCACGTGATCCCCTTTTGCGACCACCTGACAAGATTCACTTAACAAACGTGACAAGAAAAGTCCTAAAAACGGGGGCAAAGGTCTCTTCACCAATGTCTCAATTAGTGGCGTAAATGTGGTTCTCGGTTGTGGTCATAAGTCGAGGACCGCCTGTTTCTGCCTGATTCGATTGGATCCTGCAGGGTGGATTCGCTCTAGCGTCCTTCGATTAAACCCCCGGGATTGCCTTTGTGACCTTCCTCACAAAAAGATCCCCCCCCTTTTTTTTGGGACCAATGACGTCTCTGCGTCCTACACAATCTCCTCATTCTTTCCCCCCCCCCCTTCCTCGAATGAGGAACAAAGAAAACGCAATTAAAGCTAAAAAAAAGGAAGAATTCTTCTGTAGAAGAAAAATCCCCGTTCTGGGGAAATTCGAGGCTGTGTGACCTTCTCGACCTAGTTTGACTTTTGAGCTCGACAAAAAATGCAATCAAAGACCTTGACAAAAATGCAAAAATGCAGCCTCCTCCGACAGAGCTAAATCACACACACACAAGTACCCCAAAAAAGAAACGAGGATTTAAACTCTGCATGGTATTTCAATATTGCCCCTGCTTTTTCTCCCAACCACGTTGTACGAATTCAATGCGTCTGGGAAGGTCTCTGAATTTCTCTATGCAATTCTCCAAAAATTATTTATTTAATCCTTCACGTTTTCCCTTTAAAGAAAAGAAAAAAATGTCGGCTAAAAATGTTTAAGCCCACTCTCGAGGAGAAGTGAGAAGTGCCAAAGATTGCCTAACCCTGGACAGGAAATAGGAAGAATTTGGACAATCTGGCTTCGTTCCCAGGTGTTTTGTTTCGGCAACATCCTGGTTTACTTAGGGGATGGGATTGAATCCATAATGAAGTTCCATAATGAAAAGGACATGATAGCATGATAGCATGAATGAGGATTTTGCAATATCTTTTCCCCAGGAGTGGGTTGGGAATGGAGATTTTGCAATATTCTTCCCCCAGGAGTGAGGTGGGAATGGGGCTTTTGCAGTATCCTTCCCCTGCCACGCCCACCAAGCCACGCCCACAGAACCGGTCGTAAAAAAAAAAATTGGATTTCACCACTGGCTTAACCTATTATCCAAAGGACCAGAAGGCAGGACAAGAATCAACGGATGGAAACTCATCAGTGACATCATCAGAAGGAGAGGTAATAAAGAAGATTTGAGAATGTGCAGAAATGAATAGGTTGGCATTGAGAATAAAAGATAAAGAGGAATCGGGCGTATTTCAAGACATGGGGACGATTTTATGCATGGTTAGAAAAGAAATATGAATAAAAGATTATAGAGAAATAAATTAGATAAGATGAGAAAGAAGAAAAAGGAAATAGAAACGCAGAAGACACCTGTGTAAATGGAAAAGGGGGAAAGAAAATATATAAATGTACATTTATGACGATATGTTTGAATTTAGTAAAATGAAAAAGTAATTGAAAAGAAGGTAAAAATCGGGATTGCTCGAATACCACTTTGGAAAATAGTAAATTGAAAATGAATACAACAATTAGAGAGAGAATGGAGAGGAATAGAGGAGAGAAGAGAGGGAGGAGAGAGGGAAAGAAAAGGAAAAGGAGAGGAAGAAAGAGGGGAAATGAGTAGGAGAGAAGGTTAGAAGGGAGGAAGAAGGGAGGTGGAGGTGGGAAGGAGAAGGAGAGGAGGAAAGAAGAAAATAGATGGAGAGGGATAAAGGAGAGGAGAGGAAGGAGAGAGGGAAAGAAGAAAGGGAAAAGGAGAGGAAGAAAGGGGAAATGAGTAGGAGAGAAGGTTAGAAGGAGGTATGGGGGAAAGGAAGAGGAAGGAGAGAAGGAGAAGGAGAGGAGGAAGAAAGTAGAAGAGTAGATGGAAGAAGGGAGGGAAAGGAAAGAGAGGAGAGGGAGAAGAAGGATTGTTGTATAAAACAAGGGAGATGAAAAGGTAGAAGAGCAACCCAGAATATAATTGTTTAGGATGACGATTGTATTAGTATGAAAGTTAAAAAGAAAAATATGTATGTTAGATAAGAAACTACATTTAAGATACGTTTATGAGGAAAAAAAATAAAAAACTTTTTAAAAATAAACTCATGAGGATGCTACAATGGTTGTAAGTATGAAAAACTGTCATAAATCACTTTTTAAAGGGCTGTTGTAACTTTAAACGGTCACTAAAAGCTATGCTTTGATGGCCATCTGCTGATCTTCCAAAACTTTATGAGAGAAAAATATTCTGAATTTCTCAGGGTTTTTTTTCTCTCTCTCTCTCTCTTGAGGCTTTTGCAAAACATTTGAGTTCAATAATTGTTCGGGAGTTCCATTTATCTGCTCTCTGTATAAAATGATGTTATTTTTTTTTCTCCGGGTTGGATCTTGGCAGCTGGTAGGGCTTCCCTCACTGAGAGACAAATGGGATTTCCTGATCCCAAAATCAGTGGAGATCCACTGCCCCCTTCTGGATTGGCCTTGATCGCTCAGCCTTGCATTTTCCACGAATGAACAATGGTGGATAATTAATCAAACACCATGATTTAATTAAGCGGTATTTCTCAACCTAGACCACTTTTAAGACGTGTGGACTTCAATTCCAGAATTCCCTGGGCCCAACATGGCTGACTGTGGAATTCTGGGAGTTGAAGTCCACATACCGGAAAAATTGCTGAAGATGAGAAACGCTACTCTGGAGCGTTTCTAGGTAGTCCTCGACTTACAACAGTTCATTTAGTGACCGTTGGAAGTTACAACGGCACTGAAGAAGTGACATACGACTGTTTTTCACACTTAACGACTGTTGCAGCATCCCCAGGGTCACGTGATTCAAAATTCAGATGCTTGGCAACTGACTCGTATTTATGACGGTTGCAATGTTCCCGGGGTGACGTGATTCCCCCTTTTGTGACCTCCTGACCAGCAAAGTCAATGGTGAAGGCAGATTCACTTAACAACCGGGTTACTAATTTAACAAGTGCAGGATTCACTTAACGACAGTGGCAAAAAAGGCCGTAATATGGGGCAAAACTCACTTAACCAATGTCTCATTTAGCAACAGAAATTTTGGGCTCCATTGAACCAGTTCCCATGGGTCCAAATTTTGATTATATGACCACAGGGATGCAGCAGTCAAAAAACAGAAATGGTCATAAGTCTCTTTTTTCAATGCTGTTGTAACTTCGAATGATCACTAAACCAACGGTTGTAAATTGAGGACTACATGCACGCATTTGTTTTAAGGCTTAATTAGAATTAGTTCCTCTGTCCTTCTGCAACTTTTCTATTCATAGCCAATGTCAGGTCCTGCTTTGCTTGTTATATTTTTATGTACTTCCCATGTAATAACATATATTTTAGCTTTGTCCAAATAAACCAACTTTATATCCCTTCCTTTTGCTTTGAACAATTTTTGTCTATGGAGTTTAAACAAGTTTGTTCACTAATCCCTTTAAATAGTGTCTCAGAACTTGACGTAATGTCATTTTCTCTCTTCTCTTCCTCCCTTTTATAAATCCAAAAGGAGACCATTATCCAAGTCACTATTCTGGTTTCTCGTTTGCACATCCCTTTTAATTATGAAGACATTACTTGGTGTCCTTTGCGTATCCATCTTTTTTCTCTCCATGTCATTAACCATTTTTAAACCCACTTTCGAATCCACTTCAGTTTCAGCCTTCTCCAGTAAAACGTGTTCCTCTTCTGTAACACCGTTTAAATTCAGTTTTATGACAGCAGATCATCTTAAAAGTAGCTTCTCGGTGCATTGTTCCCAATTATCCTTGAATTCTATCGTATTTTGCTCCATTCTGTATTTGTTGGGTCTCATCTTTAAGTCAAATCTTTAATTCTTTCTGGTTCCTTCTAGCGTGCAAACCTTCAAAATCTCATCATGTTTTCCCCCCC